TGTGCGATTTTATCGGTATACCAGTATATCGCGATTTTTAGCTTATCTGAGCCAGAGGCTCAAAGAGCTAATGCTATGGCCATTTGTGCGGTGTGCGTAAACTTTTTAGAATATGGGCCATAACTCAATAACCCCTTGGCCAATTATTGTCAAATTTGTCACAGGGTATCCTTGGCCCAAGGGCTCCCATTTATAGTAAAACTAGGGTTGTGACCCTTAAACAAGGGGAGATAATTAGGAAAATAGGAACAAAAGTACTGGTTGCTAAAAAATCTTCTTCTCAAGAACCACTGGGCAGATTGTCACCAAACTTACAAAAAAAGGATGAGGATATGTTGAAGATTAAAAATTGTTCAAGTCATCACCCTGGGGCAAAGGGCGTGGTCTAAAAGGTCACTTCAAAGTTGACCAAAAATTACATTTTATTAAAATGTTGATATTTTGCTTTCTATAAGGACTAGGATCATCAAATCTTGTCAATTGATGCATCTAAGGACCTCATATCATGTTGACTCAAAAGTAGGTCACGGTGACCTACTTTTTAAATTTTCGGCCATTCTTTTTCAAAATTATTTAGAGGCATATTTTGAACAATTTAAGGCCTATGATCATCAAACTTTGTCAGTTGATGTATCTTGGGTTCTCGGAGTACGTCGACTAAAAAGTAGATCACGTTGACCTACTTTTTGAATTTTATGGCTAATTTTTCAAAACAATTAAGTTCATTAATTCGAATACTGAGAGGTTTAGAATCATTAAATCTTGTAAGATGATGCATCTTGGGGCCATAAAACATATTTATTAAAAAGTAGGTCACCGTGACCTAATTTTTGAACTTTGCAGGCTTTCGATTTCAAAGCGTTTTAGAGGCATAATTTGGACATTTTAAGGCCTATGTTCATAAAACTTAGTAAGTTGATGCATCTTGGGTCCTCAAAAAACGTCAACTGAAAAGTAGGTCACCGTGACCTACTTTTCAATTTATATGACTATAATTAAATATTTCGGGTACGAATTGGCTTAGAATCATCAAACTTTGTCAGTTGATGCATCTTAGGTCTTCGGAGTAGGTCGACTGAAAAGTAGGTCACCGTGACCTACTTTTGAAAATTTATGGCTTTAATTAAATATTTCAGGTACTAATTGACTTAGAATCATCAAACTTTGTCAGTTGATGCATCTTGGGTCCTAGGAGTACAACAACTAAAAAGTAGGTCACCCTGACCTACTTTTGAAATTTTATGGCTGTATTTAATATTTTCGGGTACTGTTTGCCTTAGAATCATCAAAATTTGTCAGTGTTGATGCATCTTGGGTCCTCGGAGTAGGTCGACTGAAAAGTAGGTCACTGTGACCTACTTTTCGATTTATATGACTATAATTAAATATTTCAGGTACGAATTGGCTTCGAATCATCAAACTTTGTCAGTTGATGCATCTTGAGTCTTCGGAGTAGGTCGACCGAAAAGTAGGTCACCGTGACCTACTTTTGAAATTTTATGGCTTTAATTAAATATTTCAGGTACTAATTGGCTTAGAATCATCAAACTTAGTTGATGCATCTTGGGTCCCCAGAGAATGACAAGTGATAAGTAGGTCACCATGACCTCCCCTCAGGTACTAATTGGCTTAAAATCATCCTGGGTTCTCAGAGTGTCTTATCTAAAACGTAGGTCATGATGATGACCTACCTTTGGAATTTCAAGGCTTTATCTAAATATACAGGATACTTAGAGGCTTCAAATAGAAGTGATAGGTTGTACGGTTTATCAGAAGAGTGATTCAGGTTTGTTTGATGAATGATAAAGAAACGCTCTTTGTCATCTTCCTATCATTCTTTCCTGTTGAAGTTTTTGGTAGCTTCTCGTGAAAGACAATATACTTCGGAACATAAATATAATCCACGACTTCCTCGGAAATATTGAGCTGTTATTTGATAAAATCCTTGAAGGATTCCTCAGTCAAGGTCACCCCGTCCTTTTTAACAACAGCTACACAGGGAATATCGTCACAGTGTATTTCGTCTTTTATGGAGAAGACCACCACTTCCTTAACACTAGGATTTCTTTTCATAATTTCTTATAGATAGGATTGCAGAACCTTAGCTCCAGAGATTTCCATCACGTCAGACAACCTGCCGTATACTTCAAGGCAACCAGCAGAATTAATATGTCCCAAATCGTCTGTCTTGTACCAACCAGTAGGAGTGATAACAGCCGGTTTTTTCGGCTTCATTGATGTAACCTGGAAACGGTAAAGAACTGCGCAAGAGTAGCTCACCTTTCGTTTCAGGAGATACCATCTTTCCGTCCTCCCCTACAATTTTCATTTCCACCCCAAGGAATGGTGATAGGCCAATATACATGTATTTGTCATCAGGTGAATTGTACAGCCTTCCAGCTACAAAAGCAGCTTCTGTGGAGCCGAACGGAAAGAGCATCGTACCTTTTCCCGATGGCTGCCAAGCAAGAAGCTGGAACATGCTGACCCTCTGTGATAACTGTTTGAAACTTCCAAGAAAAACCCTTTTGTCATCAGTAACTCCAAAAGGAATGGAGCGAGGATAAGGGCGTGTTTGGACTTTGCTTTCTGTATTCTACAAGGCCATAAATCTGCATCCATTCGGCAAATATTCTTGGAACTCGACTTTTTCTCACATTGTATAAAACAACATATATAAAATACATAAACAATATAAAGCAAAATACATGATGCAAGATTGTACAGTTTTTATTCTAGAACTCATCATTATACAGTTAAATGTGCTTTAGAATATATATTTATTTGACTGTGTCTTGAAATTACATGCTCAAGTTTTGAATACGTAATTGCATTTTCAGTAGTGTACAGTGTACATCTTATTTCAGAAACATATACAGTTCATATATGAATAGAAATTGGCACTTACATTGACTTCCGCTCATTTTTAAAGGGTTCAAACTTAACTGTGCTACATATGATTAAAAGAGATTGATTGACAGGTAATACATTAGTGTTTTCCCCCAAATGCACGTAATTCTATTCCGGTCCTTTACTTTAAAGTAGTTTCCTAATAGATTCTTCAGTTGTTTTTTTTTTCTTTAAATCTAGAAAGTTTTTCTTTAAATCTAGAAAGCATTCTAGGAGTTGTATGCATGGCATATCGAATTGTATAATAAATCTGTGTAAATCATAGCCTTGTATTCTACAATTAACAACTTATTGAAAATGATTACTCCTTTCCTGATTTTGTAGTAATTAATAGAAGTGATTTGGTCTATAATTATCATACCTGCTGGATAGCCATGCTCTTGTGTCTTGGGCAACCTGTTCAACCGTCATTATACCTGTATGTAAAATGTGTTGCCCGCAAATATTTCTCGTGTCCTGAGAGGTAGATATCAATGGGGTCAAATGCTGGTAATGTGAGTGATTCTGTTGTCATAAGAGTTATCATAAGTGCCGAAAAATGCCTCCCATCTCAACATCTCCTCGCTTTGGTGACCCATGAAATGGTCCGCAGCGGAGTGACAATGACGAAAAGACAGTCTCCAGCGCCACTATAAGAGCCTGGGCACAGTTGCATTGCCGTTTTGTTTATAATTTTAAATTTCAGATTCCGTAGGTCGAGTTCAACCACGGGTTGGGACGGAAGTGGGTATCCTTGTAAAAGTGAATTTCTTTGTGCTTTCTTTATTAATATTTCTTCACTTAGGGCAGTTATGTTAGTTTCAGAGTTGTTGTAAAATGTGCTTTATAAATAAAATTAATTCATTACAACGTGTATCGGTAACGATCCTCTAATAAAACTAATGTTCAAATAACTGTATCTCAGTTCCATTCTCAATGACCGTGTAGTGTAGGACAGCGCCGCAAGAATTCCATCGGCATCGAAAGCAAGTTTTATCAGGTCGAGACCACTAGATTTTCTGTGCTCACATTTACAAAATTTGCTTTATGAAGCTTTATATCAACTTGTAATACATAGCGAAAACTATTGTTCACAGAGACGTAGGTGCAATTGTGTCGATAAAGCATTGAATGTGGGTTTTTTTCACATGATATACATGTACATAGTTTTAGACAGCAGTACAAGGTGCGCAATTATTATTGAACTCCTCGATATCATCAAAAAAATTTATGTACACTCAAACATAAAGCGTTTGTACGGTATTTGAAGCAACTATTAATAATCTAAAACAACTCAAATATTAAATGTGAGAATGGAACAGTGTCTTCGGAATATAATCTTTCAATTTCAGCCTTATAAAGTAAAAAAGAAGCTTTACGGTTTTCCGGTGACCAAGTAATATTATACAGTAAACAGACGAAAACCACATGTCGCTATTGAATCGTAAACACGTAGCGGACCGTCTTGCTTTGCGACTCATTCAATTTATTGGAGAATGGGTTTGACAAAAACATCGTCACGTATTGAAAAGTTCCTTCCATAAAAGGTAGTGTACCCGACCTGTTTATGACTTGCCTAGATGGCCGAGCGGCCTAGCAAGCTGTTCCTGTACTGCTAGGAGACAGATTCCGTAGGTTCGAGAGTTCAACCCCGGGTTGGGGCGGAAGTGGGTATCCTTATAAAAGTGCTTTCTCAATCTCTCACCAGAGGGCGTATTACGCTTCGCTACAACACCAGAGGGCGTATTACGCTTCGCTACAACATTATTAGTGGAGCGTAGCGGGAACGATAACTCTGAGTAGAGATTGGTGCTTTCTATATAAATATTTCTTCACTTATGGCAGTTATCAGTTTCAGAGTTGTAAAATGTGCTTTATATATAATATATATATGCTTGGGGCCATTGAGCAGTGACATTTGCACCAGGTGCCGAGTGTTTGACGATGATTTCCATTGTCCGTCTGTGTGTGTGTGTGTTTAATTTGGCCTCACTTCTCATTTATGCCTTAACAATGCATGCATATGTTCATAAGATTTCCTGCCGCGAGGGTATACTCCGCTTAGCGGTGCTCTTGTTTTGAATATTTTGTTGATGTAGAGAAAATAAAACTTGTATCAAATTCACATTCATTTATTACATTATTCGTTAGAAACATGTCTCAACGAGTGCAAAAATAAGTAACAACGTGTATTTTTTAGCAGAATAGTTCATACACAGGATGTTGTGGTGGAGTTACTTTGGTTGGGATGTGAACCTATGATAAGGTTTCCCCGATGGTGGAGTTACTTTGGTTGGGGTGTGAACCTAAGATAAGGTTTCCCCGAGGGTACGGGTTGGACGGTAACACCCTGTGGGAAGACCTTCTCTATGCCTTCTTGAGGAATGGAAGGCAGAACCATACACTTGTCACCGTCCTGAAAAGTACAAGGTACAAGAAAATAAGAATCGTAGATACATCCACTTTTTTCGAAAAGAGAGAGAAGAAAGGAATTAGACTTCGAACACGCACCTTCCATCCTTCAGGGGTTGCCACCTTTTTGTTCATCGTCAACTGGAGGGAGTCAATAACCCTAAGAATTTCCCTAAAACCCAATGATCAAAAGACAGAACTTTAAAAATTCTTCGTTTCATATGTAGAAGTGAACATACAGAAAACAAATAAACTGCTCACGCGAAATTACGTCCTGTGGTTGCCGGGTACAGCATTGATAATTTCAGTTTCTTGTCAGGGCCAATGATAAAAACCTGCAATAATGAATGGTCATTAATATTTAAATGAATGATAGTAAAAAATGTAACGTTAGTGGAATACAAGGACAAACTGCGTAGAAATTCTTACATTTTCCCAGTAACACTGAATATTTCTCTATTGAATTGAATGTTAAGATTATGATTATCCTTACAAATAATGTTATTAACTGCAGTCTTTAGGACACCTTATCAATTAGCCCTATTAAATAATTACATATGGAGTTATTGAATATTAATCCAGTATTTTTGGCCGATTGTGACATCCTATCTCACAAATGCGACACATTTCAAGTCCGCATGATAAGATTATTTTGGTGTAACTTCATTTAAGTGGGAATAAAATCAAACTTTAAGTCCGACTGCATTGTTTTAAACTGTGAATTGTGTTAAAATGCCTAAAGTTAAACACAGGTGTGATTTATAAAAATCATGTCAAATGTTGCCCATTTACCGCTCGACACGTTAGAGGAAGTCCAGCGTTGTCTTTCTCTGCCGGGTCTACCATACCAAGCTTCACGGCCAAGTCTCTGCTCTTATCCGATATTATCGGGTATGGAAGCTTTCCTGTGGAACATTTACAGTAGTCCAATATGTCCTTAAACGAATAAAGTTATATAGAGTATATTCCCCCCTCCTCTCGATTTTAGGTAAGAGTGCTGATTTATTTTGCCGAAAAAAATGTGTATATTTCTGTATATTTCACAGAAGGGATAGAAAGTGGCAAAAATCTCAAAATTCAACATCCAACGGATCCCCGAAATCCGGGAGGGGAGGGTTTTAAGTCAAGTTTACCTTTGACCAGCCCTCGTGACTTGGAACGTCATCACAGGACAGAGCGATCATCTTGACTCCTCTTTTCTTGAACTCGGGCTCAAGCTCCACGCATTTGCCCAGTTCTGTTGTACATACTGGGGTGTAGTCCGCTGGATGGGAGAACAGGATACACCAACTGAAGAGTGAATTAAACTCATCAGTTGAAAAAAAAATTGATTAATTAAAGTGCATTTTACATATATAATCCAGTCTGGCACTCCACCATATGTCACAATCATTTTTGTTTATGTGATACTTTGCCTGAATTGATATAATTATAATAATAATATGTTCATGATATCGAGTACTGATCAGTCACTGTTGCTAAAATAGACCTTGAAGCAGATTTTATCTTTGAAAACCGGATATTATTGTCAATGAAATGATAATAGGTTATTCTTATGAGATGTCCACTCAGCAGACTATTCAGGGAATCCGGTGACCTCTTACCTATGGATCAGTAGAATAAAGCTTAAATTTCAGGGTCAGTTTTAAAGTCACTGTCTGATAACTGTGAGGTATGCGTTACAGTCGCACAATACCGCCCTAAGATGTCAAAATAGACTAGGGATATAACCCATAGTGACACGGATGATCCACGTCCGTAGGAAGCAATTTCATGGGGGGGGGGGGGGGGCAAACCAAACATTTTCAGTTGGGGGGCCCTACCAAAAATAAGTTCATCAGACGTTATTTTTTTAGAAGAGAGAGAGAGAGAGGGGGGGTAGGCATTTTCTACAGAATACTATATATTGGTAAAATTATTGGGGGATCAAGGCACAGCCCGCCGTGACCCCTCCCCGTTTCTATGGCCATGGGATCGATTATTAATGCGTACAGGCCAGCCGTCTGCATTTAGATTTTGCTGAGTATTACACAAGTCCCATTAAACACTATATGCCAACACAACAAACTGCTATCCACCGACAACTTGACATCAAAAATACTTATTTAGCAGTGCCGTATTGATGTCTGAGAAGTTCCAGAAGTCCAGAAACGGAGTTGCCACTCTAAATAAAATATCTTGATATCTTTGAAAAAAGACGAGTTTAAAACAGCAGAGAGGGGTACGATAACATTTAAGAACAAGAGGCCCAAGGGCCTTAACGGTCACCTGAGTACAATACAACAATTTAGAGGATCCATAAACTGATAAATGAAGCTTTGTTGCCCAAAAGCAAGAAAAATAGTATGATTTGCATCAACAAATTAATTGGTCTAGTATCTATCTGTCCCCCATTTATCACTATTACCATGCAGACTATTAACATACTGTCTATTTTTTAACCCCCATATTATTATTTCTCACATTGGCCTCTCTTGGCCTTTGAAGAACAATATTAAAAAGATGAGTTATTTTTGTCTCAATTTTATTCATCTATTATTTCCAAGTCTACCTGATCATTAAAACTATGAAAGTACTTTTTGTATTATACAATAAATATTGTTGCATAATTCTCTTATTCTATTAAGCATTCAGATACATTATTTACAGTGATTTATTATCAAAGGTGAATGGCAAAGGGAATAACTTTGCTCAGCAGAATACAAGTTAATAGAGCACTGGCCAGGACCAGAACACTTGATTAAATGGTCCAGGTGTTCAAAATTCTGGTAAAAATACCCTTGCATCTTAAAACTTTTCTCTGTTTGCCTCGAATATGCCAAGAAGCATAGAAAATTTTCAAAGAAATGCATTATCACTATATTATTAAATAAATAAAGCCCCATCCCTACACCAGAACATCTGACCAATTGGCCATAAGCTCACAATTCTGGAATAAGCACCCTTGCTCATCATGACTATACACTTGTTTCTTTGTTTTATAACCAGTAGTAGAAATAAATATTTTGAAAGAAATTATGCATTTTCACTATATAATCAATAGAGCCCCCCCCCCCCTCCCACCAGAACCCCTGACCCTGGGTCCATGAATTTCACAATTTTGGAAGAGGCATTCCTTCTTATCATAACCATGCACTTCCTTTGTTTGAAAAATACCCAGGAGCAGAGAAGAAAATTTTGAAAGAATTCATGCATTTTCCCTATATAATCAATAGAGCCCCGCCCTAACACCAGAACCCCTGACCCAGGGGCCATGAAATTCACAATTCTGGAAGAGGCAACCATGCTTGTCATAACTATGCACTAAGTTAGTTTATTTAAAACCCAAGACCAGAGAAGAAGATTTTCAAAGAATTAATGCATTTTCACTATATAATCAATAGAGCCCCCCCCCCTTTTTCACCAGAACCCCTGATCCAGGGGCCATGAAATTCATAATTTCTGAAAAGGCAGCCATGTTCATCATAACTATGTTCTTAAATAGTTTATTTAATACCCAGGAGCAGAGAAGATTTTCAATGAATTAATGTATTTTCACTATATAATCAGCAGAGCCCCGCCCTAACCCAGAACCCCTGACCCTGGGGCCATGAAATTCACAATTTTGGAAGAGGCACTCTTGCTCATCATAACTGTATACTTAGTTAGTTTATTTAATACCCAGGAGCAGAGAAGAAGATTTTCAAAGAATTAATGCACTTTCACTATATAATCAATAGAGCCCCTCCCTAACACCAGAACCCCTGACCCAGGGACCATGAAATTCAAAATTTCTGAAAAGGCAGCCATGTTCACCATAACTTTGTTCTTAAATAGTTTATTTAAAACCCAGGAGCAGAGAAGATTTTCAATGAATTAATGTATTTTCACTATCTAATCAACAGAGCCCCACCCTAACACCAGAACCCCTGACCCTAGGGCCATGAAATTCACAATTCTGGAAGAGACACTCTTGCTCATCATAACTATGTACTTACTTAGTTTATTAAATACCCAGGAGCAGAGAAAAAGATTTTTAAAGAATTATAATGCATTTTCACTATATAATTAATAGAGCCCCCCCCCCCACTTTTTACCAGAACCCCTGACCCTGGGGCCATGAATTTTAAAGTTTTGGAAGAGGCACTCTTGCTCATCATAACTATGTACTTACTTTGTTTTCTTAATACCCAGGAGCAGAGAAAAAGATTTTTAAAGAATTAATGCATTTTCACTGTATAATCAATAGAGCCCCACCCTAACACCAGAACCCCTGACCCTGGGGCCATGAAATTCACAATTTTGAAAGAGGCACTCTTGCTCATTATAACTATGTACTTAGTTACTTTATTTAGTACCCAAGAGCAGAGAAGAAGATCTTCAAAGATATAATGCACTTTCATTATATGATCTATATAGCCCCATCCTAGCAAAAGAACCCCTGACCCTGGGGCCATGAATTTCACAATTTTGGTAGAAGGCTCAATGCTTATTACAATCATGCCAACAGTTTGACTGCTTGATGTCCAGGAGTAAAGAAGAAGATTTTTAAAGATTGCATTAATTTTGGTGGTTTTAGCCCCACCCCTCAGGTCCCGGGGGGGGGGGCAGGGACCATGAAATTCACAATTTTTGTTCCCCTTCACCCATAGATGCTATATGACAAATTTGGTTGAAATTGGTTGAGTGGTTTCAGAGAAGAAGCTAAAAATGTTCAAATGTTAACGCTCATCACACGACGCGCGCCGACGGACAAAAAAGATAGCAAAAGTGACCTAAAAATCACATAAACTAAGTATATATTATCCCGATAAGTATATAGGGTGTAGGTCTAGCCTTGTAGGGAAGGCCTAAGGATGCTACAGGAATTATCACAAGGTTTTGAAGCTTGGATCCTTTTTTTTCAACGTAGAATAAATGTAATTGGATTAATCATTCGGAGATTCCTTATAAGTTTATATTTTATCTAATAAATCTTGGAAACAGTGTCGTAGTCTATAAAAAATGGTCTGTAGGCTAAAGATGTTACGTAGGGCGGGTTCGTTATGTAGGACACGGGTAAAAGGAGGCAAGGTGATAAGCATGAATTCTTCCACTAGAATCAAATTCATACATTTTTGACAGTCGAATTCAAACACAGGATAGATATTTGTACATTTACATCGGTAAAACTGGCTGACATCGGAATTTTACAACATTTTAAAAACATAGCGCTCACAGCAATTTGACACATGTGTTAGTACATGTGTTACACTTACACATGCCTCAAGTGCTAGCAGTGGCTACTGAAGGAGTAAAGTTCTGTAACTAACCTGTCGCCAATAAAATCATGGAATTTGATTTTTCCAGCAGTTGTTTCCGCCTCAAAGTTAGGGAAAGTATCGCCTAAATTCACCATTATGAGAATGGTCAGTCGTCCTCAAACAGGTACACTAAGCTAAAGTTCCGAAGTGCGTGTATTTCGAGAAGGGGCGGTACTTAAAAATACGATAGCATAGTCATGTCATAAATTTCCGATTCAATCCCTGAAAAAAAGTAATTGCATATTAGAGCCTTTCCTTTCTTAGGAAGAACCAGAGAGGCATTTAGCTTTATGAAATGCCGATGATTTAAAAAAAAATACAGACAAAATAGGATAATCAGACGCAATCACCGCTAGTGCACGTGGTGGTCGGTCAAGTTTCCGTAATATTGCTTGTTTATATAATCATGCTATTTCCTGTTTGTGGTACAACTAGAGCGAAGTCAGTTGATATTGTTTTTTGCACATATTTCGAGACATCGATCTGCACGTTCACACAATTACTAGAGAGGCACGTTTCAATGTCACCTTGAAGCCAATAAACCTATTTATAACTATCACAATTTGAAGTTTTAAAATGTTCAGCTGTGTTATTGTTCTTTATAGATCTACACACTCGCATCAGAGACGAACAACATAATATATAGGTCTCTACTTAAAAAAAATTGCAGATGAATCGCACCAAATATGTTTTTTTTTAAATGAGGCTTAAATCCATTTTAATTTGTTGATCTCAATAGCAATGAATTACCGGGAAAAAATCCAATAAAAACTACAGAAAGTAGTGAGCTTTAATCACTTTTAGGTTAAGATCTAGAATTATTTACAAACTGCACGTAGTTGAGGATAACATTGAAAATTTTCACCCCAAGAAAACCATTGTCAACCGAGGCGCATCGAAGTTGACAACGGTTTTCGAGGATGAAAATTTTTAACATTTGTTACACTCAACTACATGCAATACCGGTATTTATTATACTATACTGAATGTTTTATACAAATACATTTTACATAATTATAACTTGGCCATTCAAGTACACTCCATGCAGATAAAATTGATTGTAGTATCATGCGTTTTAATTCCATCCTTTTTAATCTTGTCCAACTGAAGACCGTCAATTGAGGAGAATCCGATTTTCTATTTGAAATTCCTGTGCAAAACAATGTCACCCTTATCATTTACTGTGTGTAGCCAATCAAAAAGAATCTTGGTTCCCCAACATCTGAACATAAACCCTTGGGGGGATTACAAACTTCCATGATAAACGAACTGATTATTAAAGCAATCAACAGTCAAGCTTTCATAGGGGCCTTTGCTCCTCTCATTGCTTCAGCAATTACCCCCCACATTCAGGTAATAGTTCAGACTTGTATACAACCGATCTTAAGCTCCATAAAAGAACAACAAAAAGATATTAAAGAACAAAATGATCAAATACAATCATTGAAACAAAGCAACTCTGAACTCAAACAGAGGGTCGATGATCTGGAATATGGACTGGACAATCTGGAGCAATATGGACGCAGAACATCTTTACGATTACATAATGTGCCCATACCAGTACCAGGGTCAGATGAAGGGGAGGAGATGGTCACAGATACAGATGCTACAGTGATTAAAATATGTGCAGGGATCGGAGTTTCCATCACTCCGGAAGACATCAATCGCTCACATCCGATTGGGCGTCCAAACCGAAATATAACAAAATGCAAATTATTTGCAAATTCAGAAGCTGGAAGATCAAAAACAAAGTGTACAGTGCCAAAAAACAACTTAAAAATAACGCAGATAAAATTTTTGTCACAGAAGATCTTACTAAGTATAGACAAACAATCGTGTCGAAAATCATACAAGCCAAAAATGCCGAAGTTGTACATAGCTTTTGGACCTACGATGGTAGAATTTATTTGAAGTTCGAACAAAACGGAGACAGATGCGAGGTTACATCACTTGAACAACTGGACTATTTCTTAAACGGTTAACTTTGTGACAAATAAAATAACTGTTAGTATTTATCTTACAGTAACATTATCCCTTTGACAGTCATTGCAACAATTGTTACCCACTGCATAAACAGCATTAAATTAGGGTGATCATTTTATACATTATTACTATGCACCACCTCCCACTTGCTCTCCTTATACAATGTCACTAGTTGTGCTCATAGTAATTAGTTGTCTTTTTGTACATATATCAGTTTTGACTGAATCACTTAAGCTACCTTTATGGTATCTGTTCTTTTTTTCTGTCAGTTTTTGTTTTTTCAGTTTTGCTGTTTTTTTTTGTTTGTTTCTTGTTTTTCATCATGTGTTCACAGTCTTGTTATCAACTTCAACCAAATCATGTGCTCGTATTAACATCTTTTTTTCCGCGGCTCACTTGCTTATTTTTATGGAGGTCACAAATTTCTTTTTAACTCATGATAGGTAATACTATCGAACAATATCGAGCCGCCATTGGTATTTATTACTGCAAGTGCAGATGTACAATGAAATCAGAGTTATTCCCCTTGTTTAATGCCTCATATCTACCAATGTTTTACTACTCTATTGTCAAAAGAGATTTAAACAGTTACTATTTTGCACCGTTTTTCAACGAAATATCCTACATGTACACTTTTGATTTCTAATCCTCGTCCTTTTACATCTGTTATCTGGTGATATAGAATTAAATCCAGGCCCTACTAATGATCAAATACAAACGCTAGATATCTTTCATCTAAACATAAGAAGTATTCGTCATAAAATAGAGAGTTTAGCAGCATTTGTTACAGACTTTGATATTTTATGTTTTACTGAAACGCATTTAGACACAAATGTATGCAACACAGACATTATGTTAGAAGGGTATGATAAAATTTTTCGCAGAGATAGAAATTCGCATGGAGGAGGTATTCTGATTTATATTTCTTCATCCATTCATGCAATCCGTCGATGTGACCTTGAACCTACGTCAGTTGAATGTGTCTGGTTAGAAATAAGTGAACCTACCTGTAAATTTTTTCTTTGTTGTGTCTACCGTCCGCCAAACAGCAATAAATCCTTTTGGGATAAACTTCTGTGGTCAATAGAAAAAGTATCTGATATATCCAGTAAATATCTCATTGTAGGAGACTTAATTTTTTTAGACCATTCTCGTTTAAATCCTATAAAAGATGTCATGTTGAATTATCAATTGACAAACACAATCCACGAAGCAACAAGAACTACAAAATGGTCGAACACTCTTATTGACCCAGTTTTGGTCAGCACAGACCTAGAAGCTCTCCACTCAGGCGTGATAGACACAGACAATACACTTAGTGATCATAAGCTACATATGTATTTCTTAAAACTTGTATTAAGTAAAGTGAACCTTATATTAGAAAAATATGGGATTATAAAAATTCCGATATAACAAAACTTAATGCTCTTGTGGAAACTACTAATTGGGAAGGTCTTATTAGCAATGCTGAATCGATTGATAAGGCTACCGAAAATTTTACAACTACATACTTAGACTGTGTTAGAGAATGCGTTCCTGAAAAGTAGGTCATGATTAGGCCCAAAGACAAACCTTGGTTTGATTCGGAATTAAGAAGAACACTTAGAACCAAAAAAAGATTGAGAGAAAAAGCACTCAAAACTAAAAAAAAACGCTTGACTGGGCAAATTTTAGACAAATTAGAAACAAATTTAATAACATGAAAAAGCATGCAATTGAAAACTACCAAAATAATATTGAATCACAACTCAATGATACAAGCAAAAATAATTCAAAACTATATTGGAAACTTGTTAAGGAAATTTTTAAAACCAAACCAAGAACAGACATTCCCCCGTTACAATATACGTCCAAAAGTGGTGGTGACGAGATCGCCTTTTCAGATGATGATAAGATAAATGTTCTTAATGATTACTTCGCTTCAATTTCATGTGTTGATGATGAAAATTCAGATTTATCTGAAGAAACTCCTATGTGTGACACCATATTTGATAATATACATATTTGTGAACAAGAAGTAATAGATATTCTATCTATACTCCCTGCAAATAAGGCCACTGGAGCAGATTCTATCAGTCATAAAATGTTAAAAGCTACCAAATTTTCTATTGCGAAACCGTTATACTTACTATTTAATCTTTCATTGAAAGAAAATATTTTTCCTAACAATTGGAAAATAGCTAATGTTATTCCGCTTTTTAAAAAAGATGATCCTACAGTTTTGTCTAACTATAGACCGGTTTCATTACTTAGTTGTGTTAGTAAGGTCATGGAACGTATTGTATTTAAGCATTTATACAACTATTTTCCACAGGTACTTGTGGACAGGAACCCCCCCCCCCCCCCCCGATATTCAACTCCGGGGCTTGTAGGATATTTTTTTCACAAATTATATTTATTACACTTATTCATCATGTGTACCATAGGAAAAAAATCGTGAAAATCCCAAAATAATCGTTGTACACAAAAAAATACTCCACTATACATTATAATGTATAGTGGGGTATTTTTTGTGTACAACGATTATTTTGGGATTTTCACGATTTTTTCCTATGGTACACATGATGAATAAGTGTAATAAATATAATTTGTGAAAAAAAATACCCTACAAGCCCCGGAGTTGAATATCGGGGGGGGGGGGGGGGGGGTCCTGTCCACAAGTACCTGTGCTATTTTCATTGTAATAATATTTTTTATAAATACCAAGCTGGTTTCCTACCTGGTCATTCAACGGTGTATCAATTAATAGAAACGTATGACAACATTGTTAGACAAATTGATGAAGGGAAATCTTGTTGTATGATATTTTGTGATTTGTCTAAAGCCTTTGATCGTTTCTGGCATAAAGGGCTTTTATTTAAACTAAAGATGTATGGTATTAATGGAAATGTGTATCTCTGGTTAAAAAGTTATTTAGAAAACAGAATGCAAAGAGTGATGTATAGAAATTTGTTATCTTCGCCGGCACCTTTGCAGACCGGGGTACCTCAAGGTTCGCTGTTAGGTCCATTGTTATTCTTGATTTATGTAAATGATGTAGCTGACAAATTGTCAAGTTTTTGTAGATTATTTGCTGACGACAACAGTTTACAGTATGCTTCAAAATGTGTAAAATCTATTGAAAGTAATTTAAATAATAATCTTAAATCTCTAGAAGAGTGGTCAAAAAAGTGGTTACTTAAATTTAACCCCTCCATTTTTTAACACAAAAAAGAATCTAGAACCACCTAAGCTTCTTTTTCAAGATAACCAATTAGAATACGTTCAAACCCACAAGCATTTAGGAATAACGTTTTCATAAACTTAAGTTAGTCATCCCATATTGAAATCTTACTATCAAATGCATGCAAGAAATTGGGTCTTATGAAAAAACTAAAATTTAAATTAAATCGGAAAACTCTTTCACTCATGTATACATCATTTATCCGCCCTCAACTTGAATATGCATCAGTAGTATGGGGTGGTTGTTCAACTACAGATTCTGAAAAATTGGAGAAATTACAACTACAAGCAGCCCGTATTGTTACTGGTCTGACTCTATTAGCTTCTGGAGAGTCTTTGTATTTCGAAACTGGCTGGGAGCCGCTAAGTGATAGACGCAAGCTACACAGATTAAATACTATGTATAATATTCATAATAATTTAGTTCCTGATTATTTCTGTGATATTATACCTGATATGCGATATAACGCTTCCACTTATACAACAAGAAACTCTCAAAATTACCCATGTGTAGACTGCAAACTTATAAATCGTCATTTGTTCCAACTGTAATTAATGAATGGAACTCATTATCTCTAGAATGGAACTCATTATCTCTAGAAACTAGAAACTCGAGCTCACTTTCTGCCTTTAAAAGAACGATTTCACAAAAAAAAAAAAAAAAAAAAAAAAAAATAGCAGTAACTCCTCCTTATTTCAGTTTTGGAAAAAGACGTAATAAAAAACTGCACACCAGACTACGACATAACTGTGCATTAAATATTGATCTTTATAGATGTAACATTATATCAAGTCCATTATGTTCTTGTGGAAAGGTAGAAGACACACATCATTATTTTTTCTCTTGTTCTAATTATACTAAGGCCAGGAAAGATTTTTTCGATAAGTTTTGAGATTTGATAAGGTTCATATTGTTGACACCCATACTTTATTGTGGGGGGATACTTCACTAAGTGTTGCTGAAAATGAATATCTTTTTTCCATTGTGCATTCATATATTCAGCACTCTGGCAGATTTAAATGATATATTGTAATTATTTATGTATTGCATTTGTATATCACAAATTCTCTTGCAGTTTACAAATTCATGTTGTGAGTTTATCAAATTTATTTCTAAAACTGTGTAACACATTTAACTCAAACTTTATAGACTTCTCATGTAGGGAGAGGGCGAAATAAGTTTTATGAACTTGTGCCCAATCCCATTGTATATATATTGCAATAAAATATGTTCAGTTCAAAAACTTGAGTGATATTGTCCCACACAAGCGTGAAAAAAATATCAAAATATAATACCCGCAATAAAGAACAATTCACTGCTCCTAGATGCGGATTAGAATTATTTAAAAGGTCTTTTATACCCGATGCCGTGTAAACAGTGAAATTTATTAAAGATAGAAGCCATCTCACTCAATGCATTTCGTAAAAACTTAACTACTCGTATAGAAGTAAAAAATCCCCCAATCTATTTTTCATTTGGTAAGCTTTATATACAAATTTAATAGACATAATTGTATATACTTAACCATGATCTACACAAATGTAATATTATCAACAGTCCTTCATGTTGATGTGGGGAGTATGAAGATGTTTATCATTTCTTTTTCTTTTTTTCTTTTTTTTTTTGCCTGTAGAAATTATCCAAACACTAGGAATAATCTTTTTAAATAACTGCCTATTTATATTTGACGAATTGGTCACCATTGATACTTTGTTATAATGGTTGATGTTTTGCCTTTACAAACTCATATAATTATTTTTGCTGTTGTGCATAAATTTATTAATGAAACCTGTAAATTTTAATTGCTATGTTATCTAACAGAATTTTCACTTATATCGATTGTTAACTTTACATTTTCTATGTTCTATTTCAATTGCATGACATATTGGTATATTTAAGGAGAGGATGCAGTAAGCTGTAAGAACTTTTTTCCAATCCTTTTGATTCATTCAATAAAATAATTATGTTCAAAACAAAAACAAAATGCTGTCTACACATGAAGCATCCCGTGTTAATATTTCCATAGTTCCCGACCACAGACGTCAGACCCAATCACAACCCGGTTAATTGACTTGCATATTAATTAGGCACTTGACCAAATTATATAATATTCTGATTTAAAAAAAAAAAAATCTAGGGCAAGGTTGTGAGAGCATGATTTCAATAATAGTCTGTAAATTCAGTTTTGTTTGATGAATATTCATGAAAAAAATATTTATAAATAGTCAATGCTATTTTGCAAGTCCAATTTTTCATTTTATTGAAAATGATTATCTTTGGTAATTCGAATGTATGTTCATTTCTTCTAAATAAATTATTTTCTAGCAGCCCCAATGTTCTATGCTCTAACCTTTCCTAGAAATCAGTTTGCATATACTACTACATATATTTTATATACTACTACATATATTATATATACTACTGCATATATATACTGCTACATGTATTATTTACTTCATCAGTTTTAAGAACTTCATCTTCTCAAATTTCATAAAGGTCTTTTAAAATGTTTTTCGTACTGTGGTCACGAAAGTCCAGGGAAATAAGTCCAAACAAAATCTCAAGTCGAACAAAGAACGTGGAAAAGAAACAAAATATAAAGAGAGGGTTAAAAAATTAAGCATAGTACAAAGAGTTCTTTAATTTTGTTTCCATTGTTCTTACGTAATATTACTGCCCCTTGTTTGCGATAGGTGTTAGCTTAACTAGATTACCATGTTTAGATAAGCAATTTCTACCTGTCAGATCTTGTGTGCTCTAAAACTGTCAACAACAACATTTATCAATTAATTAAAAAAAATATTGTGTGCATTCAAATAAGGATTTACAAAGGATGCAATGAACAGGTATTTTTTTCCTCCCCAAATTTTTAATGATATTATTCAATAATATTTTAGTATCAAAAAGTTACATAGGTTAAATAAGAAAACGTGTTATATATACATTTTGACACTATAATTTCAAGAAAATAAAGTTTATTTGAATGATTGGTAATTTTAAGACTGTAAAACAAATGTTTTTCTGTCCACAATTTCAGACCATTGTTTACATTTAGAGGGAAAAATAATAAAATAGATGACAAATGTTTTATTTAAAGGTAAACAATAAATACATAGGTAAATAATAAAGAAGGAAAGATGTCAGTCGTGTTTGAAAAATATAGAAAATAAGTGTATACCTTTAAGGGTATCAAGTTTATGATTATTAAAATCATATGAAAGCAGAGACTTATCCATCCTCCGTTTAAAACTATTTTAGTTATTGCTTGATTAGGATCGAACAGCTGACATGGATGCATTTCTACAGTTAGTTATCCATCCTAGCTACTAAGCATTTCTTTTTCAAATGAATCGTCAAATGCAGCTACATGTACTTAAATCTGACTCAAAATCGAGAAGAACGTTAACACAACCTTTAAAAAAAAAGCAACTAATATGATTTTCTGTCATTTCAAAAAGCTAAAAAGTATAATGAATCATAGTGACGACTGTAATTAATGCAGGGGTTACTATTTCTTGACATGGGACACATATACGAGTACATGTGCGTTGATGTGCGAAAAAAAATTATAGAACGTCAATTTTATTCATACTTAATGTTATAACTTTAATTGGTCAACAAAGGGATGAGAAAAAAACCTTACGAATCACTATACAAGTTAAAGTATACATCGTTCCTTGTGGAAGAACCTTAATCATGAAATCAAATGGTACATTTTTTAAAAACCCTTTTAATGAAATCAAGTGGTGCCTTTTTTATACCCGCCCCCCGCTTGAAATGTGGGAGGGTATATAGTGATCGGGGTGTCTGTCCGTCCGTCTGTTACGCTTTGGAGTACCCATCTCTTATCCGCAACTCCTCTTATACCATTGAATGAAATTTAATGAAACTTTCACAGAATCTTTGTTACATAGTGCCATTGTGCACCTCATATTTTACTTTTTGATCGGACACATATTTCGGGTTTCCCATAGCAAAACATGGACACTGCCATTCTTTCTATAATATTGAAGGGTACCCATCTCTTATCCGCAACTCCTCCTATACCATCTAATAAAATTTAATGATACTTTCACAGATTCTTTAATACATAATGCCATTGTGCACCTCCTATTTTTCTTTTCGATCTGACACTTATTTCGGGTTTCCAAGAGCAAAACATGGACTTTGCCATTATAATCATATGGGGGGAGGGGGGTATCATTTAGTGAGCTCTTGGTGTTGAATTCGATATATTTTCAGGGAAAATTACAATCAGAAATTAGTTTTTAATTCAGGCTTAGTTGAATGTTTCGATTTTTTCATATGTACATGAATTTATTAAATCTACTAAGAGACTAATCTAAGTATATTGTAATATTTTAAATACTATAATAAGTGTACAATTTTACAATACTCATATTAAAGCTGGAACAGTAAGTAAATAATTTATACATAATTAGGGGGTCATCGTCTTTTTTTTTTTTTTATACAATATTGAGGAATAATACTTGATTTTGAATCTTTATTTTGGACTATTAGTATTTTTATTATCATGTACAAGTATTATTATTTATTGTCTTTGTCTTGACCTATTATAGATTTATTAAATAAAAATATGTTTAAATTAATGTTTCGATTTATCGGAGATATCCACGGACTGCCATGGCCTTGTACTTAAATGATTCAAAGAGAGAAGGGATTAATAAACTCTATTTCAAAAATATATAAAGTGTCGATATAATTTTCAAAAAATGTTGGATTTTCAAATTTACATAACTGATTTTGCCTTATGTTATCTGCTTAATATATAAATGAAACTCGCAGAATGACGTGGTAACTCCTTTATCACCTCAATCTGGAGTTTCCTTTATATATTAAGCATATATAACATAAGGTAAAGAAAATAATTAATATTATTAATATATATCTTCGTCTTACTCATCTTACAGACAAATGCGCAGGGTAGTACACACTCGTCAACTCTCCCCGCTTCGTCAGGGTAAGTTGCCAAAGATAAGAGGGAGAAACCGGAAGACCTTACCCACTAGACCCTCTTCTGAATGCCTGATACGAGATCCGGCCGAATTGTCAATCCGTCCCACTGAGCTGTCTGTCCGTCCCAATAGCGCCCGCCCCGAAGGCATCATAGACGACAAACATTCATTCAGGAAAGTGGCGTGTAAAGTTAATAACATCATGAAAATGAGAAGGAAAAAACGGACGTCCAAATCATCAAACGCAGACGAAAGCGACGAATACGAAGATGAAAGTTCAGACTGTGAAACTGTTTTAGATGGTATGTATATTAGAGCACGTCATGAACATAGAAATCCGGTCTCTTGCAAAAAGCTCCAAAACACGGGTCCGTAGAAGGTGGGGGCGGGGGTGCACCCCGACTTTTTTTTTCTGAGTATTGAAAAAATGTACCAAAAAGTAAGCCCCCTAGGATTTTCGAGTTTGGACAGTTTAGTTTTTTCTTTTGGCTTGTCAGTTTTGGAGATTGCCACCCTCGCCTACTTTTAAAACCACTGCTACGGGCCTGACACGGTTACTTATTTATCTTTTTTATCTACATGTAAAATTAAATTGTATGGTCAATGTGTAAGCTGAAAAATGCAGGAGAACGACAAGCGCATTTTTTTTTGTTTAGATGTTGATAACATTGGGATGAAAAGACTTCATACAACCGAAGACCTTCAGTATCGCTCGCTGTGTGAAGAGCTAGGGATTATTCCTTGTAATGCCTTCGTCCGTCAGCTGAACAACCCACACGCAAACATATCGTACAACCAGCTTATGCCAATAGACTTCCGGGCAATTTCAATTATTCTTATTGTGAGTACTTGTGCAAGTTTGAGTATCGGGATATCAATAAATGCTTCATATAAAAATCAAATGATATTTTGTTTTCATTGGATTTATTTTACAGTGTTCAGGTATAATGTTTTGTGTTTTTATTTCGCAAATCACTTTCAAGAAGTAAGACTGGCATTTTTGTAACGACAGAACCTTTTTTAAAGTCCTAAAACATGGATATTAAATGATATACTTCAGAACAATGCGTGTATAACGTCCCTGAATGTCTCAAACAACAACCTTGGAACCAAAGGTGTCACCTACCTTGCTGACGTCATAACAGAAAATCCTTTCATCGAAAAATTGGTGAGTTTTGAGAAATGACTCTTTCTCTTAAAGTCGTCTTAAAAACTAGTCGAATAATATATTTACATCCACTGAATATTTTCATGCAAACCGATTGCTATTTATCTGAAGCAATAAACATAATATACTTCTAGACTAGTAGTAATGTCCAAAGTCAGGTGGATATTCATCAACAGAAATGTTGTCCCGAGGAAATGCGGAAGACCTGGGAAACTGATGACCAAGGCCGAAGTAAAAAGTTTCCCAGGTCTTCTCCATTATCGAGGGACAACAGTTTGAATGTTTCCCGATTTGTCATGAAATAAATGTTTTATTACTTAATCTACTTAATATTTTCTCAAAGTAATGATACAGACAATGATCCATTATCACGTCATAATTAATTTCCCGTACTTTACAGCTACAATATTGAATTATGTAGAAAACGAGGCATTTTCATGGCATTCAATTTGAAATTATCGTTTGAAAAGTAATCCCGATACCCATATACATTCAATTATTATCCTTTCAAGTAAGTGGCCAAGAACACCTTTTCTGAAGGTTATTTTGAGAAAATGTAGGCTCCTTTCACTCGCCAGAGATCTTTGCCTTAAACGTCTGACTCAGCGTGTTATATTCAAACCTTCAAGTCATCATATATTGTTTACTAAACAATACATGTATACATCAATTTATTAGTGCCTAATAATATTACTCCATAAATTTTCTGATTTTACATCAATCGGTGTGAGAGTTTGATTAATATTTATCTTGTTGAGGTTGGTTTCAAGAAATGCTACAAACTGTTGTCGATGTATTTTTAAAAGCCATTGATTATTACATCTATATCATTACTTTAAAGAGTCAATGTATGTTAGGTTATAAAACACATTTCATGACGACTCGGGAAACAGTCAAACTGTTGTCCCTCGATAATGGGGAAGTCCTGAGAAACTGTTGTCCTCAGCCTTCAGCCTCGGACAACAGTTTCCCAGGTCTTACCCATTACCTCGGGACAACAGTTTGACTGTTCACCTCGTGGTCATGAAATAAGTGTATAATGCATAATTACAATTTATATAGTTTTATTTAGGTTTGGTAATATAATGTTATATCGATCCTTCTGTTACCTAGAAGGAAGAGCCATAGACAAAATAGTAAAAATAATTCACTTTTAATTTTTCCAATTTTGAAATACAGCTGACTATAGATAACAGCAATGTGGTTACCTTACATAAGAAATAAAGGAGAGAATATTCTATTGATGTAAATACCCGGTATATTTGGTACCTAAAACATTCTTTTTTTTTAATTTAAGGAAATGTCTGCTGTGAACATGGATGCAACAGGTTTTAAATCACTCACCAAGGCTCTCCTGGAGAATAAGAGTATAACGTATTTAGACATATCAAGTAAGTCTGAGGCTGTTGACTTATTTTATTAATTTTATAATGGCAAATCACTTAGTATCCAGTCACAGATTATCAAAAGATTGCCAAGAGTTTTTCGATTTCTTACTCCATCGTCTCAAGCCATGGTCCTAGTCTTCACTTATAGCTCTCTCGTACTCTCTCAAGCCACGGTTAGTAGTCCGCACATAACTCTCTCCTACATTGTCTCAAAGCCACCGTCCTAGCCCGCACATAACTCTCGCCTACTCTCTCATTGAGAGAGTTATATACAGACTACGAGCCATGGCTTGAGAGTTTCAAGCCAAGGTCCTTAGTCCTCATATAGCTCTCTCCTATAACCGCCAGAATGGGAGACGCGCGTACATTTTTGTCGTGGTTTGCGACGATGTTCTTACTCATGATGTTGTGGGATTTGTTGGACATAACAATGCACAAAATGTCAGTGCTTTAAAACATTGCCATCAGATTTGATACCCCCTCCCTGCTTCCCAAATCATTTATCTCGTTTTAAAGAGATTTTACAAACGTATTTCCCCTTAATCGACAAAAATATCTTCTCTTTTTTTCTAAAGAAAACAACATTGACAAGAAAAACGCCGAAGACATGGCCAAATTTATAAGGGTAAGTTGTCCACACGTTATTTCAACTTTTAGAGAATTGCGGTGCTTGCATATCGGGGCATATTTGAAAATAAATGAAATACACAGATTCCATTAGAGGTTCTTACTTTTTCAGACGAATGACTACATAGAACACCTGAATCTATCTGGAAATCTGATCGACAGTGAGACAGGGTGTATCTTAGGACCAGCAATAGGTACGCGTCATATAATGAGATAATTTACATTTTACGATGCCTCAGTTTTTTTTTTTTAAATTTAAAGGGTTTTTATCACGTCTCAAAATTTTTTGATATGACAAAGTTTACATGCTATTAAAATCATAAATTTAAAAATATTTGCTAAAAAATTAATATTTTTGATGTTTCAGCGATTCAAAGTTTCTCAATATGCATATTTTGATCGCCGATGTTACGCGCCATTGCTCTGACGTCATAGGTGTCAATTCTGGTCAAGCGAAGTACTTATTGTGTATAAAAAAGAGCTCATTTGTTGTGTCTGTTAAACCTGTTTACGGTTATAAAATAATTAAGTGATAAATGGATAATTGACAGCTAGTAAGGTATAATTTATGGCCTTAGGATGCACAAATGTGCACAAGAAAGGTCTTAGGAATTTTTTTCCACATTTCCTAGACTTGGTCGAGAGATGGTTGTATGTTCGTTCGCCCTAAAACTTGTTCGCCCTTGACGCCGTTCGCCCTCATTCCCCTTCGCCCAGAGTTCGATCGCACTAAAACTTGTTCGCACAGGGTCCGTTCGCCTTATTTATATTGCAGAAAGTTGAATATTGAACCAATGGATTTTTAAAATAAATTATATGTACCTCCCGACTTTCCAAAACGATGCTACGTCCCTGGTTAAATCACACGAAACTTAATAAATTGCAGACGGGAGACAACAGACGTATGCATGTGGTCACACTATAAATACCTGTACTTTCAAAGACCCGACAGACCAACAGAAATTAACGTCCCAGTCCTTTAATTGTTTTCAAAACATAACGCAGATTGTATGATCCCCTAAAATACAGTGACATTATTAAGTATAATTAAATCAATTAAGCATTTAAAGAGCATAAATATCAAATTTGAATTATTTAATTAAGATTACGGTAAATAAAAAAAATACTGTAACAACATTTGAAAAAAAACACCAAGTCGTAAAATATTGAATAAAATTAATAATAAATGTTAACATTTACTATATACTGTATATATAATAGGGCGAACGAGATATAGGGCGAACAAGAATAATGGCGAACGGACCCTGCGCGAACGGACTCATGCGAACAGGTAGATAGGGCGAACGAACCTAATATCTCGAGGGTTGTATGTTCGTTCGCCCTAAAACTTGTTCGCCCTTGACGCCGTTCGCCCTCATTCCCCTTCGCCCAGAGTTCGATCGCACTAAAACTTGTTCGCACAGGGTCCGTTCGCCTTATTTATATTGCAGAAAGTTGAATATTGAACCAATGGATTTTTAAAATAAATTATATGTACCTCCCGACTTTCCAAAACGATGCTACGTCCCTGGTTAAATCACACGAAACTTAATAAATTGCAGACGGGAGACAACAGACGTATGCATGTGGTCACACTATAAATACCTGTACTTTCAAAGACCCGACAGACCAACAGAAATTAACGTCCCAGTCCTTTAATTGTTTTCAAAACATAACGCAGATTGTATGATCCCCTAAAATACAGTGACATTATTAAGTATAATTAAATCAATTAAGCATTTAAAGAGCATAAATATCAAATTTGAATTATTTAATTAAGATTACGGTAAATAAAAAAAATACTGTAACAACATTTGAAAAAAAACACCAAGTCGTAAAATATTGAATAAAATTAATAATAAATGTTAACATTTACTATATACTGTATATATAATAGGGCGAACGAGATATAGGGCGAACAAGAATAATGGCGAACGGACCCTGCGCGAACGGACTCATGCGAACAGGTAGATAGGGCGAACGAACCTAATATCTCGAGGGTTGTATGTTCGTTCGCCCTAAAACTTGTTCGCCCTTGACGCCGTTCGCCCTCATTCCCCTTCGCCCAGAGTTCGATCGCACTAAAACTTGTTCGCACAGGGTCCGTTCGCCTTATTTATATTGCAGAAAGTTGAATATTGAACCAATGGATTTTTAAAATAAATTATATGTACCTCCCGACTTTCCAAAACGATGCTACGTCCCTGGTTAAATCACACGAAACTTAATAAATTGCAGACGGGAGACAACAGACGTATGCATGTGGTCACACTATAAATACCTGTACTTTCAAAGACCCGACAGACCAACAGAAATTAACGTCCCAGTCCTTTAATTGTTTTCAAAACATAACGCAGATTGTATGATCCCCTAAAATACAGTGACATTATTAAGTATAATTAAATCAATTAAGCATTTAAAGAGCATAAATATCAAATTTGAATTATTTAATTAAGATTACGGTAAATAAAAAAAATACTGTAACAACATTTGAAAAAAAACACCAAGTCGTAAAATATTGAATAAAATTAATAATAAATGTTAACATTTACTATATACTGTATATATAATAGGGCGAACGAGATATAGGGCGAACAAGAATAATGGCGAACGGACCCTGCGCGAACGGACTCATGCGAACAGGTAGATAGGGCGAACGAACCTAATATCTCGAGGGTTGTATGTTCGTTCGCCCTAAAACTTGTTCGCCCTTGACGCCGTTCGCCCTCATTCCCCTTCGCCCAGAGTTCGATCGCACTAAAACTTGTTCGCACAGGGTCCGTTCGCCTTATTTATATTGCAGAAAGTTGAATATTGAACCAATGGATTTTTAAAATAAATTATATGTACCTCCCGACTTTCCAAAACGATGCTACGTCCCTGGTTAAATCACACGAAACTTAATAAATTGCAGACGGGAGACAACAGACGTATGCATGTGGTCACACTATAAATACCTGTACTTTCAAAGACCCGACAGACCAACAGAAATTAACGTCCCAGTCCTTTAATTGTTTTCAAAACATAACGCAGATTGTATGATCCCCTAAAATACAGTGACATTATTAAGTATAATTAAATCAATTAAGCATTTAAAGAGCATAAATATCAAATTTGAATTATTTAATTAAGATTACGGTAAATAAAAAAAATACTGTAACAACATTTGAAAAAAAACACCAAGTCGTAAAATATTGAATAAAATTAATAATAAATGTTAACATTTACTATATACTGTATATATAATAGGGCGAACGAGATATAGGGCGAACAAGAATAATGGCGAACGGACCCTGCGCGAACGGACTCATGCGAACAGGTAGATAGGGCGAACGAACCTAATATCTCGAGGGATGAAAGGGGGCCTTTTTCTGCAAATGCGATGGCGTTTATCTCCATTCACAACAATCGTTTATGTTCGATCGATCACAATTTTTTTTCTGTCCTATAAAATATTTTAAGGAAAGATACCTTTAAAAAAATGATAAATGACAAACACGCATTTTAAAAAATCGCACAGAATCTAGTAGGAATGTTGTTAACTTCGTAATGGCGTACGGCGCCATTGAAGAGTGTCATTTCTAGGAATGCGGGTGGTTACGTTCCGATTACTTGTTCGACCCGCGTGGTTTCGACACGAATCCATGTTCGACCCGAGTGGTTTCGTTCCAAAGCAATTAATTGCTTCGGAACGATATTAATTAACACTTTCAACAGTTTTACATTTTATTTTTTCGTCTACATTTTTTTTTTTGTATCGACCACGTATATTTTTGTATCATAATTTGGAGAAATCTACATTAATGTTTAGATAGTGCATATGTGATCACGGTACATTTGAAGAAGTATTTGATTAATTTTTATGGAAAACTGTTCAAATATAATTCATTACTAAACAAATTCATCAACATCCATGCTTCGCGATAGTACAAAAAATGTTAGGAAACCTTCTAACTGCATGTTGACTACACATACGGAAACAACTACCTATTGACACGCACATCTCTGAAGCCATACAATATACAGCTACCGGATATCCATTTGTTTACCGCACAGTGTATACCCCTGTACTCAGGTATTCACATATTGGGATAAATATTAGAGGAGGTCGAAACCACTTGGGTCGTAACCACGCGGGTCGAACACGGAATCGGAACGTAACCACCCGACACCCATTTCTAGTACGTGATATTCACTGCTGGAACAGATAGAAGATGTACAGGATTTATTTATGTATAATTAATTAAAAATAATAATAAAGGAGAATTTAAAATTCCCATATTTATAAATGTTTACGAAGTTAAACTTCAGTAATTCATTCTTTTTAGTCGAAGTCCCGAGTTGTCAACGGCTTCGTCTTCGGTGACTTCTTAGCATATTTTCTGGTTATTTCTCTCTGCTAGACGTTCATACATAAAAGATTGACCGTCCATAACCAAAGGAACATAGTCGATGTCAAAATTTCAACCGGCCATATTGTGTATTTTATTTATTTAGCGTAAAAATCTATTCAAAATATTTTTCTTACGATAAGCTTTACGAGTTCTATTGACCATTGACACCTATGACGTTTCAGTACCACGTGACCCCTATCTAATTGTTGGAGATTTTTGCTTCGAGGACCCTATATTTCGGGCGTTTTATCGTCTAATTTCGGCCGTTTTCAACTTTATTTCATAATTAAACGATAATTAAATGTTTCAAGAATATAATAGTGCTTTATTTTTAAGAAATATAGATACGTGATAAAAACCCTTTAAGTATCAATTCATTATATTTTCATTATTGTTATTAATATTTGCAGCGTCAAATTTAACGATAAAATACCTGGATCTCAGCTGGAATCACATACGTCGACAAGGTGCTCGTATAATTACAGAGTCTATTTGTGTAAGCATGCTTTAATACCTATTTAAATGTTATCAAAATCTTTTTTGAAAAAAAACATCATAATTCTGTTAAGAACTTAATTCTCAGTTTCCTATAGAAATGACGAAGCTGTGTAAGTTTTTTGCATGCCCTAATTGGTATTTTGCAAACCATCAGCATCATATAATGTCAAAGTATCAGCATAGAATGACAAATGTCATCATAATAATGCTTAAAATCTGCTTAAAATCTTTTCAGTGTTCAAAAATGCCAAAGTATCAGCATAGTATAACAAAATATAATCATATAATGACGACGTATCAGCATAGTATGACAAAATATAATCATGTAATGACAATGTATCAGCACAATATGACAAAATATAATTAAATGATGACAAAGTATCAGCATAGTATGACAAAATATGATTATATAACGACAAAGTATCAGCATAGTATGACAAAATGTAATTACATAATGACAAAGTAGCAGCATAGTATGGTGGTTTAACAGAACAGTTATCCATGTAATCTAATAAACAAAATTGGTAACAATTTAATGTGAGTTTAAGTTTTTGCGATCTGAAAAATGCGAAAGCGAAAATTGGATTGTCGCTAAAAACACTGTTATATGGTAATCAGCATAGTATGAGAAAATCATATTATGACAAGTTATCGACATAGCATGACAAAATCATCACATATGACATAGTATCAGAATAGTATGACAAATATCATGATACAATGACAAAGTATCAGAATAGTAGAATATCATCATATAATGTCAAAGTATCGGTATTAAATGAAAATTAATTAAAGTATCATTTTACAGAAAATTTTCACACCCTATTTACCATCTACGACTCGTCAAAAGTTACTCATCGGTTATTTATCTGTCCTACATTCAGACATATTAATACCTTTTATAGTCAACATAAGCTACCAAGATCTATAATACTATGAGATGCCTGAGTGTATACAGTAATCATGCTCATGAAGTCAAACACTACTTATTTACATCACAATAAATTGTATAATCTCGATCTAATGTCTGTTTCATTAATTTTGCTTTCTTTAAAGAAAAACGTGGAGCTTGAACACGTGAATCTGTCATGGAATGGACTTGCAGAGCATGGCTGCAGAGCTTTCGGTACAAACCTCTCAAAAAATCACACGCTACGAATTCTTGACGTTTCCCACAATAGGATAACGTTTCATACTTTGGGCAATTTCCTGAAAGGCCTACAATCCAACAGTACTCTGCAAAATTTAAAGGTGAGTTAAATAAAAAAACCATTCTAACTGTTACAGACAGTTAGATATATTCTTTTGATACCAAACAGAAGTTATTATTAACCATTCTATATTATAGATTTATTATTAACCATTCTATATTATAGATTTATGGAAACCCCATTACTACAGATGGTGCCTTAGCCATACTGAAGGTGTATGAGAATTCTCAATCCTCAGTACTGGAAGAAATCGACATACAGGTAAGAGACAGATGAAAATCGTGCATCACATACCCCTTAAGAGTAATGGTGATTGTGTCATGATTCAAGGACTTACTCTCAAGGTCTAGGTGCAATAACGTTTGAAAATCATGAATGAGATAGCGTGCTACGTATAATTAGATTAAAACCAGCTTATCGTAAGCTGTAGCGTATCGAAGCAGCTGATTTTATAAAGATGCTAGCTACAACGTTGTAAAAGTCAATAATAGTACATCCGTTCTTTAGCACTTTAGACCGTAAAGCGTGGTTTTATCTTGATCCAGGGCCGAGGTCACATGGCAATGATATATCATAATCTTCCCATTGTTGAAAAGTGTAATCCTTTGGAATGAGTTCAGGAGCTTTTCAGACCTAAAATGTTGCAGCTTTTGATCTAAAATGCATCATTCCATAACCTTGTTTTTGTTCAAAAAGGGTTTTAGTTGAAATAAAAGGATTCCCTAACATCAACATTTCAAAGTGAAAATAAGAAAAAGACACTGAATTAGCTTTATCTGTAATCTGATTTTGTCTAATCACTCTAAAAATTTTGCTACAGGACATTCCAATAGATGAAAAGTTTCAGAGACAAGCATGGAATTTGATGGAGAAAAGAAATATCAAATTACATCACAGGGACCTGGTCACTAAACCGATCACTCACATAGGACGGACTCGACATCTGAATGACTTTAATCCTGTTCTGATTTTGTTTGAGTACATGCGCCAGGAAGGCTTCCGGTTGGTTGATCTGTTTCGAACCCTCGACACCGACAATGACAGACAAATATCACGTGATGAACTTAAGGCTGGCTTTGCTGTAAGTTTACAAGTCTTTGAGTGATTTTCTATTATTGAAAGATGATATCACTCATTTATATACACATGTACAAAGTTGATTTTGTTCTTGTTACAGAAAATGAACGTTCATTTGACAAATACACACATAGATCAAGTGCTCGGAATTTTAGACAAAGATCGAAACAACACTATTGATTACAGGTAGATAAGAAAAATTTTGATTTATTATTTTTAACAGTAGAATAAAAATCCTTTATTATATCATTTTTTTTGCACATTGTTTTCCAGTGAAATGATAAAGGGGCGAAGATATGCTGATCACATTCGCCAGTCCTCCCAACAATGTGGTAGGGAAAATCTAGCCGAAATGATGGTCGATTTGCAAAAGTTGATGAAGAAAGCAAGAATAGAGAAACAGACGATAAAATCAGCCATGAGACGTAAACCACAGCTACTTCCTGAGAATATGTAACGAACATCGTATCATGATGCTTTGTCAACATTATTATACAAAGTTTTAGACTAGATGTGAAAAGAGTGCTCGAACTGTCGTATAGCTCAACACTTTTCTTCTAACATGAAATTCAAAACTACAAGAATGGTTCCTGAATAAGATTAACAAGTTCACCAGCAAACAATGATAAATGATTCCTGGAGAAGCTAAACGAGTTTACGAGCAATCTATGAAAATTGACAGAAATTGTGAAAGCATTCTGTTTGAAATCTCCTCCTCTTTCGTCTACTTTATTGAGGAATTTCACTTGCCATTTTTAGAATTTCATCAACATCTTCAAAGCTTACACCGGTTCAAGATCAACTCTGGTTTGAACGAATCGAACTGATGTAGATTATGTAGTAAAAGTAACCATTTATTGATATGTGTGAATTTCAATCACCGAAATACCACTATTTCTACCCAGTATCTTGCATTTAGTGGCTTGTTATCTGTTACACTTACTTACATAAATTTTCAAGACTCTGAAGGCGACCAAGCTCAATTGTTCCTAATATGAACATACAAAATATGGGGGTTTTTTTTGCAAGCACCTTTCAAGGGGGTGTAATCTCGGTAAAATGAACTTGTTTGTCAAAGTATTTCATTCTATTAAATGAACGCTCTTGTATCCATTACAATCAGATGTTTTTTCTTAAATATATTCTGTGTACATCATCAGCACCACAACAACGTGCTGGAATAAACAAGTGTTCCCGACTTCAAAAAAGAAAATAAAACTTGATAATAGATTATTTGTTAGATTAAATACTTGTCGTGTTTTGATTTTTTAAAATGACTATACATCAAATCTCGTGATCTCGAACTTGATGGGGCTGAGATAAAAACTTTCAAGATTTCCAAAGAATAGAGATAGTGAAGTTTTAATACATAAGGTTGGATAAAAATCGTATACAATCATAAAGCACGTGGGATGGGTTTCATCACATGTTTTACCTAAATTTTATGAGTTTTACCCTTTTTCGCTTTCCATCCCATTGTCACCAAAATTACGCCGCAAAAAACGTGTGCGAAATTACGCCTTTTTCAAGAAAAACCTGTTGTTTTTATCAATTAAATTATATAGTGATGTACCACTATTACCTGTATATAGTGTTTATGTCTCCCAAAGTACCAGTATTCGATACTCAAGAGCATGCTTTTAGTACGTTCCGTTCAATTTTAAACCGAGACAGGCAACTGACAAATAAGTTGATGTCACAGGGATTTCAACAATTTCATTAAAAGTTAACATTTCGAACATTCTATGTCGTTTTAGTGACCTTGTTTGAAAATAAGAACTATCTTTGGATATTTTGGCTGTTTCATATCAATTGAGTTCATTGTTTTATCCTGAAATTGATTACGGATTATCTCGTTAACCTGATCAACACACAGGGCTCACGGTGGGTTGGACTGGTCGACAGGGGGTGCTTACTCCTCGTAGGCACCTAATCCCACTTCTTAAATTTTCAGGGTTCTTGTTTTATATCCTGTTTACAAATTTGTATTGTTTAAATTTTTTGAGATCGATCATTGTTCGTTATCATTGCCTTTTACATTTGGAATTCTACCATTTAAGATTAAAATGTTCATGTTTTAAAACTGGGCATTATTCCTTTTAAGCTGTTTGCATTATGATTAGTTAAGAAAACTTTGCAACTGACAACAGTTGCACAGGTCAGTGCAGTATACAAACAAACACAATGCACGTAACTGCAATAAAATTAATAAACAAAGGCAATGCAAGATAACGAATACGTGTCGCCATTTCACGCCGTTACCCTTGACAATAAAGCAGTCAGATGTAACGAAGCGAAAGGTATATCCCAGTGCTGATATCGTAGAAAGTATGATCAAATATGGCGTATGCCAATTTACGAGTCCTGTTCAGCTTTAAGTACTGTCCAAACGGTGTCTGGATTATAAACAAGAACATTCGATCTTGCTGTTTTCAGATACATAGCGTTTAAAACTGGTAGTGCTTTTTACACTGTGTATATTGAGTATTAGAATGTGTTGTTTAGATATTTTTGTGTCGCCTGCAGAGCAGAGCAACACTTTGGGATCACTTTACCCGGCATCTGTCTGTCTGTCTAGCTGTTCGTCTGTCTCACCTTATATTTTTAGAACTGTAAGAGGTGTGGATTTTGATATTTTGCACATATATTCCTTGGCACTATGGCTTTTGTATATTACCATGGTTACCAACCTCGTGACCGTTGACTTTTCACATACTTTATATAATAGTTCATAATGCCGATATAAAGCATATTTTGGACATTTAAGAGGTAGGTCTACGCTATCGAGCATGTGCACTGTTTGTCAAAAACATTATGAGCAATCCACTTGATCTTTGACTTACTTTGCAAAAAATACCCCGGGCAGTGTAATTTTAAAGTATGACTTTTGAATTTTGAGAGTTTTGGGGTTTTGGTAATTAGCATTTATACATGTTTATCAGCTCATGATACTGTACTTTGAAAATGTATGATATTCAGTTACCACACAAAGTTATATTTAAATACGATGAAAATACATCGGGATCTGTATTCCACAATGGATCGTGTAGACTGACAATACTAGAATCTCTTTTGGAGGATTGTTGGAAACAGGTTTTAATAAAATGATAAATAAATATTTCTAATCAAAATCCTCTCAATTTAATTATTAATTTGAGGGTTGATGAACCATATTTTCTTTGAACGTCAGATTTTATCGCAGTCTAATACAATCTGTGGATACTTTTTTCCCTTCTTTTCGGGCAATTGTATGAACTATCATGCTAAAAGTAATTATTTACATTTGCAAATATTTTTCTTAGATGAACCTATTGAAGAGAAAATATGTTCAATTCTGTATGAACTTATTTGGGGGTCAGAGGTCATGGCATGACCGAATCACACAGCGCGATGATATCTGTCTACATATTTCTGTCACGGTGACACTGGTTTCGGAACTTCTAACCCGTTAAAGCGATGAAAAAGATAAAATTATTGGAACATATATGTTTTTCTTCGTTCAACAAATGATCATTTGTTCTTTCTTCGATGCGAAGAAAGCCTAAATCACGCTTACCTTTTTAACCCGAAATCCCTCTGAAGGTATGTAAACGGAAGACGATAGCACCGCTTTTGACTTCATATATAAAGAACTCATACAATAATAGTAAGATTATTGTCAGTAGCGATCATTGTTTTGCATTAGGAACAGATATTTCCTGAACTGGACTGCTGAACATCAATGTAAGTATTCAAATGTTGGAGCGAGGCGAACTCTCAAGACCAAACAGCTTCTAGATCATTGTGCGTCACAACGTAGCAATACGGCGGGCCGTTCGTGTAATAAATGCAGTTCTTTTCAGAATATTTGTCTCAAATGTAAATAAAAGTAATAAACAACAATGTTAAAAAGTTCACTGGGAAATGAACTTGGTTGGTACGTGATCAAATCTTCTGAGAAGCCCTTCGGGCTTCACAGGATTTGATCACGTGACCAACCAAGTTCATTTCCCAGAGAACTTTTTAACATTGTTGTTTATTTCTTAAATAAATAGTTGACCACTCTAAGATTTATTTACGTCTTTAATGAAGCTACAAAACAGGCGACACATGCGTTCCTTGGAGCACTCTAGTAATGTCTATATAATTAGCATGGTGAGCTCTTGGTGACAAAGCACTTGAAGTAAAAGACAATACACATACTAAAATCTTTTTATCCCACCTATTTAATAATTCACTGTTAATGGGTTCATTAGTATAAACATGCTTTTTTTCCTCATTAAAAAAAAAACTTGTACCTTTAGCTACATTTCAAGTTTCAACTTGATTACAAAGTAAAGCAAAAAAAAAAAAAAAAAAAAAAAAAAAAAATAATAATAATAATAATAAAAAAAAAAATAAAATAAATAAATACACATGTTATAAAAAAAATTACATTAAAACAAAAACCACAACACGATTCGAACACTCTCCTCAGTAAAATTTCTATTTTAATTCCCCGCTGAATTTATACGCATAGCTTTATTAAAAATCAAAACAAAAAATGTGGGTCAATGCGCTTCTTTTGGCGCTACAGAGCATTTAGTTTGACCTTTTTGCACTGTAAATACCTCTTACACATAAATCAATTTTTAAAGTTTCTCCTCCAATATTTTTTGTTCAAATAAATTATGGGAACAAAAACAGTCTTATTTCATCTCTAATAGACACATTAAAAATTGTGACAACGAAGAAATTTTCAAATTACTCCGTATGTTCAATTATTTGACCTTTTTGCACTCAAGCATTTTCATTTTTCTGGCATTAAAAATTTAACAAGCAAAAAAATCATTTGAAAGTAATGACATTTTACTGAATTGAAGAAGAATGGTTAAAAGTATCGTATATATTGAGAAAAGAAAATCAAAAGTGGGGGTCTGTGATGTTAATTTTGAGATATTACTTAAAAAGTGCTAATTTAAAGCTTAAATTAGGGCTATTTTTTTCTTCATTTTCACAATATATTTGCTATATTTATCAAATATGATGATAGAATTCATGACAGTTTATTTAGTAGATAATATAGGACCAATATAAAACAGTCCACTGCACAAAATAACTCTGTGTGCATACTGCATGTAAAAATAGGAATCCAAACTTAGCATACTTTAAATACTTCGAAAGAGAAAAAAATTTTCTTCGATAAAAACCTTCCGCCACAAAATATAGTTCCCCACTTAATGCTTTTGGTAGGGAATTTAATCATGGAGTTTAAACTGAATATAGTTAAATTGGCATCGTAGAATCAAAATTTATTGTAAGAATTAAAACATTATGCAGAATTTTTGAAATATAGGTTAAGATAAAAATCTGCTCAAAAGCTCAGGAGCGAACCTCGTTAAGTGCCTCAGCCGGGATATTATCAGGCCCTGCTGACTTGCCATTCCTCATCTGTTTTAACTTAAAACCAGCAGATGAGGACCTAGACATAGACTGGGGACCACCTACTAAGGAGGAAATAAAAATAGCCTTAAAAGTTTTAAGGCTATTTTTATTTCCTCCTTAGTAGGTGGTCCCCAGTCTATGTCTAGGTCCTCATCTGCTGGTGTAATATTAGGAGGGTTGGGTGGAACTGGCCTATTCAACAATTCTTCAAAATGCTCTTTCCATCTCCTTCTTTGTTCTTCTTCCCCTTCTAGTTGCTTCCCTGCCTTGTCTTTCACTGGCCTTTCTTGTTTACTTCGCTTCCCAGCTAGTTTCTTGGTGATGTCATACAAGTCTTTCATGGTTCCTGCTTTTGCAGCTTGTTCTGCCTCCGTTGCTAGTTGCTAGTTCCTCCATGTACCTTTTTTTGTCAGCTTTAATACCTTGTTTAGTTCTCTTGTTGGCCTCTGCATACTCTTTTTGTGCTTTTGCTTTTTCAGCTCTCGTTCTGCTTGAATTGACCCCAGCCTTCTTAGCCTTCCTCTCCTGTACTTTTCTAAGTGTGTCATTTGTGATCCACTCTTTATGATGGTACTTTTTCACTCCAAGTATTTCATGGCAGCTTGTTGTGATGGTCTCTTTTATCCCTTTCCAATGGTCTTCAAATGTTGTTACTTCCCCTTTTTCCTGAAGGACTTGGTATTTGTTTTTAACCGCAATCTTATACTCCTGTAAGATTTGGGTATCTTGGAGAAACCTGGTGTTATATCTGATTCTCTGAGAGTTTCCTTCTGTTTTCATTTTTCTGAGCTTCAGTTTGATGCTGCCTGTCAATAGATGGTGATCTGAGGCTACATCTGCTGCTCGTTTGACCCTGGTATCCTGCAAAGATCTTCTAAACTTTTTATTGATGCATATATGATCTATCTGGTTTTCAGTTAATTGGTCTGGTGATACCCAGGTGGCTTTGTGTATTCTTTTGTGCTGGAATAAAGTGCCACCAATAACTTGTTTGTTGGATGCACAAAAGTTTGCTAATCTTTCACCATTTTCATTCATTTGTCCCAGTCCATGTTTTCCCATAATCTCGCCATATCCGGTGTTATCATTTCCAATTTTTGCGTTAAGGTCTCCCATCATGATGGTAACATCTCTTTCTCTACAGGTGTCAATAACACTTTGAAGTCTGTTGTAGAACTCATCTTTTGCTTCTTCCTCTGCATCATTTGTTGGGGCATAGCACTGGATAATGTTTGTTTTAATCCGTTTATGTTTTGTTTTAAAAGATGCCCTTATAATCCTTGGTCCATGTGCTTCCCAGCCTATTAATGCTTCCCTTGCTGTTTTGGATAGCACGAGTGCCACTCCTTGAGAGTGCGGTGAATTTTATTCTTCATGTCCAGAATAGAGGAGTAATTCACCTGTAGTAAGTCTGCACTTTCCTGATTGAATCCATCTTGTCTCACTTATGCCGAGCAGTGTCAGATTGTAATTTCTCATCTCTGCTGCAATTTGCGCTGTTTTCCCTTCTTCGTACATGGTTCTTACGTTCCAAGTTCCTATATTGATATTTCTGGGTCCGAGAAGGGTTTTCGGCCTTGTAGTTTCCTTCTGTCTCTGGTTTTCACCACATGGCGTCCTTGGTCTTCCTTTTGGAGAACCTTCTCTTCCAGAATTTGAGAAGTCTTGATTAAATCTTGTATGCGTTTCTGTAGCAATTGCCTTTTTACATGGCGGGTTGCTAACCCTGCGCAAAACCCCCTGGACCCGGAGGACTGGTGGTTTTCTGTTGGGGTTTTCCTTCCCCTAGTCACAGATTCCAGTTATTTAAAGGCGCTGGAGACTCGCCTCTTGCCACTGTCACTCAGCTACCTAAGTATTTCCAGGGCCACCAACGGGGAGGTGTGACATGTGACTTGCTGGCAGAACCTATTTGAGACGGTAGGCATTAATTCGAAGTTTTGATAGTGTAACTTAGTGACATCAGTTACACCCCTCGAGACCTTCACCAGCCTTTGACCCCAATATTCAATGTATATGGTTATAATCATTCCAAAGGGAAATAATTTGTGAGAAAATTTATGTCGTTACGTAGGCATATGGGTCGGTTAATCCTCCCCACCCCCACCCCCACCCCCGATTCTTTGTAAATAAACTCCGAAATGAAAACATCATCAAAGCTCATGCTTTTCGGTCCTCTAATTAGCAGATGATTTAATTTTTTAATTTAATGTTTTCTTTTTGATGAACCTTTATTAGTGAATTATGAAATCATTTTTTTTGTGATTGAGAAGAAATAAGTGATAAACAAATGTGTTTATCCTTTTCGTCAGTCCCCGATCTTATAGTCTTGATGGGGATTTCGACAGTGTTATGGCATCAGACCCGATGTTTAAAAGAAACAAAATACTATTAATCACTATATGTATATGAAAAAATGGGCATGGAAATTATGGCATGTCAAATGTTGCAATATTCGATCTTTTCCATTTGTATTGTATAATTTTCTATTTGTATTGTATAATTTTCCATTTGTATTGTAAAAGTTTCCATTTGTATTCTATAATTTTTCATTTGTATTCTATAATTTTTCATTTGCATTGTAAAATTTTTATTTGTATTCTATATTTTTCATTTGTATTCAATAATTCTTCATTTGTATTGTATAATTTTTTATTTGTATTGTATAATTTTTTATTTGTAATGTATAATTTTTATTTGTATTGTATAATTTTCAATTTGTATTCTTTAATTTTTCTTTGTATTGTATAATTTTTCTTTGTATTGTATAATTTTCCATTTGTATTGTATAATTTTCCATTTGTATTGTATAATTTCTGATTTGTGTTGTAAAATTATAGAATACAAATGGAAATTTATACAATACAAAAAGAATTATTGAATACAAATGAAAAATTTTACAATGCAAGAGGCCCAGGGGCCATATCGCTCACCTGAGCACTCTGGCTAGGAAAAAGCAGAAATCAGTTCAGTCTTGAAAAGTTTAAATATAAAACTGGTTGGTGGGGGGGGGGGGGGGATTTGAACTAACTTGAATCTAAACTTCATAGGGATATAGGGATGCTTTTGATTTAATATGACAAATAATGGCTTTGCTGTTCTTAAGAAGAAAATTTTGATTGATATATCCTTTGTATTCCTTTACATGATCCCCTGTCATAGCCCCTCTATTCTCCATGGGATCATGATTTGTACAAATTTGAATCTACATTACCTGATGATGCTTCCATTTAAATATGACTAATCATGGCTTTGCTGTTCTTGAGAAGAAGATTTTTAAAGATGTTCCCTATATATTCCTATGTAAAACTTTGATCACCCATTGTGGCCCCACCCTACCCCTGGGGGTCATGACTGGAACAAACTTGAATCTACACTATCTGAGGATGCTTCCATATAAATATGACCAATCATGGCTTTGCTGTTCTTGAGAAGAAGATTTTTAAAGATTTTTCCTGTTTTCTTATGTAAAACTTTGATCCCCCATTGTGGCCCCACCCTACCCCCGGGGGTCATGATTGGAGCAAACTTGAATCTACACTACCTGAGGATGCTTTCATATAAATATTACCCATCATGGAGTTGCTGTTCTTGAGAAGAAGATTTTTAAAGATTTTTCCTATTTATTCCTATGTAAAACTTTGATCCCCTATTGTGGCCCCACCCTACCCCCGGGGGTCATGATTTGAACAAACTTGAATCTACACTACCTGAGGATGCTTCCACATAAGTTTCATATTTTCAAGCACAGTGGTTTTTGAGAAGAAGATTTTTAAATGATGCCATTAATTTTTCATGAATTCATAATTATCTCCCCTTGGAAGAAGGTGTGGCTCTTCATTTGAACAAACTTGAATCCCCTTTACCCAAGGATACTTAGTGGCAAGTTTGGTTGAAATTGGCCCAGTGGTTCTTGAGAAGAAGATGAAAATGTGAAAAGTTTACGACAACGACGACAACGACAACGACGACAGACAACGGACAAATTTCGATCAGAAAAGCTCACTTGAGCCTTCGGCTCAGGTGAGCTAAAAATATAGAATACAAATGAAATATTATAGAATACAAATAAAAATTTTACAATACAAATGAAAAATTATAGAATACAAATGGAAAATTATAGAATACAAATAAACATTATACAATACAAATGGAAAATTATAGAATATAAATGGGGAATTATAGAATATAAATGGAAAATTATACAATACAAATGGAAAAGATCGAAGATTGCGACGTTTGACATGCCATAGGAAATATTCTGATAAAACTATCAAATACATACAGTGAATAAATTTATTTATCAATCAAGGATTGATAGTCTAGATAAGAAACCAATTCATGGAATATCTTGATGCTTTCTCAATTTGTGCCAGGTACCGGTATATTTATATTAAACCAAAACTGTAAGAGAAATAGAATTTTGAAAGAATTTTACAGCTTAAAAGCGGTACATAGTGCTATGTTTTGACATAGTATAATCTACACGAGTGTCATCATTCTCTATGAGAGTTGTCGTTCCCGTTACCTCTGTCGACGCTTGTTTTGCTAGATTCTTGAAAAGTTTGTAAATGGTGAAAAATTGCATTAAAAATAATTTTTAACTGTATTTAGGAAATGTTCTTAAGTTTTGTTTGCGCAAGTTTTTGAAATATGCCCACCAGACAAGTCTGCCGGTGTGATTTACATTAAACCAATGACTTTAAAAACATTCCTTACATATTACGAAAATGGCAAAATCAATTTCTTAGTTGATCAAATAGAAAAAAAAACACAGTAAATGTAAATATTATTATTTGAAATGATTAATTTTTAATTTATCATCCCTTAAAAAGTTTTTTCCCCCAAAGTTATTTTAATCTTTAATCCGCAAGATCGTTCCTTTAAAGCTTTGAAAAAAATCGTTTAAGGTACGACAGATTCAAAACTATTGATTTATCATCTTCATCCATATCTATTATAATTAATTACAATTACAATTTTAATTACAAATTTTCATCGTTTAAAACTTGTACAATCTTGAATCTTGCACAACGAACGTTGACAGAGGTTTTGTGGGAGCGTAGCGGGAACGACGTACAACTCTGGACAAAGAATGGTGCATTATGTTTCAATCTGACCAAAGCTTAAGACAGAAATTTCTATTCTTAGTGACCATGGGAATACCATTTATTGAAATCAAATTTCTTTGTATGACTTTAATGTAGTGTATTTGTATACAAAGTTTTATTAAAATTGGACCAAAAATTGTAGGTTGAGTAGCATTTTTAAAAGAAATTCACAGAAATTTCTATTTCTCTAATTTTTGAAAACAGAACACAAGCTTGCCTATTTGAGACCTGTAGAGCTTGTAAACTTGATTGAATTTGTATTCCTCCCGTGGCCCTCATAGCAATGATAGCATGTATATAATTACTTAAAACAGTACTTTCCGAGAATCAGCATGATAAGTCTTCGATGTAAGTTCTGAATTACTGCAAAATTCTGAGTGACACGAAACGGGGGGGGGGGGGTTACGTGCCAAAAATGGTAGTTAACATGGCATAATCTTTAATATCCAAATGAAATTCAAACAACATTGAGAGCAAGATGTGTTTGTGAAACACTGATGCCCCCGTATGGCAGGTTATGGCGAAGGTTAAAGTTTTAATGCAAGTCAAACTCCAAGGTCAAGAGATAAAAAATGTTGTTACCCAAAGATAAGTTTTGTCTCATGGAATATAACTGTGAAATATGAAAGCCCTAGCACCAAACATTGAAAAATTATGTCAAAGGTTAAAGTTTTTTTGAAAAGTAAGTCAAAAGTCAAGGTCCAAACTAATGGTGCCGAAGGGAAGGTCTTGTCACAAGAAATACACTTGTGAAATTTGAAAGCCCTATCACCAACTATTCAAAAGTTATGGACAAGGTGAACGTTTTTCAAAGTAGGTCAAACTCCAAGGTCAAGGTCATAGGGTCATAATTGTTGGTATCCCAATGGGAGGTCTTCTCACAAAAATACATCTGTGAAGTATGAAAGCCCTAGCACCAACTGTTCAAAAGTTATGGCCAAGGTTAAAGTTTGATAAAATTTTGCAAAAGTGGGTAAAACTCCAAGGTCAATGGGTCAAATATGTTGGTAGCCAAAGAAAGGTCTTGCCACAAGGAATACACATGTGAAATATCGAAAGCCTAAGTCCCAACCAATCAAAAGTCATGGGCAAGGTTAACGTTTTTGCGGACAAACAGATATATTAACAGACAAACAGACTGGCGGACAGCCAAGACAAAAACTATATGCCCCCGAATCTTCGATTTACGGGGGCATAGAAATTTTAATACTCAATGTTATTTAGAAAGGTTTACTAACCCTTCATCATAAACATATCCTTTCACATTATGTAACCTATGGGAATACTTATATAATTATAGAATTTAAAAGAGTAATCAAATTTCTCCCTTTCGTAGATCAACCGTGAAATGTTCAAACACATACAAAACTTGAGTCGAGGAGGAGATCATTTATAGCTGTTCTTTATAAAAAAGAAATATTCTTTCATCACGTAAAGAGGACTTTGTTCAAATGGCTTTTGACGTTTGAAATCAAAGTTCGGTCTAATTACCCAAAGATAATGAAATGCTACGTACATCCAACGACGTTTCTTTTGGAATGAGAATAAAGCTTCTATTTACCGTTAGATTCGAGCGGCAATCAATAGACATTGCAGTCAGTCACCTTCCGTATAGACACAGAGGAGAAGCGCCAATCACGGATCCACTAGCCCTTTGGTTATTGTTAAGGTTGGAGAAGATTCCCCTGGATTACCTTTTCTCACAGGTAAATTAATGCATTTGAAAGAAAAAATAATATATTCCGTCGACGTTAAAAAACATCAGTGTATAGCTTGACATTTTCCAAAACAGATTTTTAAATATACATACATTGTACACTTTTTCTAGTATCATTTCTTTTGCATATTAAGATATAATGCAGAACATCAGCTGTTCCCAATAATTTACGGCATGCTGACGCGGACAGGGACCGTTGTCCGGAAGAATCGCCGACGTTCCAGCGGAAGGGGGACTTGTCGACGTGGATCCGCGCCCACCGTACTTCAGGCAGGCTGTGTCCCACCCTCTTCTCCCCGTAGGCACCTCTCAAACACACGGACGTATCTAACACCCCAACCCTCGCCTTCAAAAAGTGTCGCATTCAGCTTTGAGAGTGAAAGAAAATTATGCTACTCTCCTGATGTTTTGTCAAGCCGCCGACAAGTAAGAGTTCAGTTTCTATTTAAATCACAATAGCTAGTAAGATAAAATAGAATGTATTTAAATATCTTTATTAGTTTAAGTCTACAAACAATAGAATTAACTATATTTAAATGTCCAAGACGACATACACATAATTAAAATTACGACTGTCCTTAGAATAGCATTGTCTTAAAACACATATTCATACTTTGCTGATGTTATAATCCAAAATGTATGTTAATATACTGAGATTTAAAATTATATATTACATGTACAAAGACATTCTTATATAGGACTTCTGGATAAATAGAGGATATTCAATGTTTTGTAGTTGCATATGGAATTTATTTCACGAGTGGGACAGGATTTTTTGATATTTCCACGAATGCGAAGCATGAGTGAAAATATCAAAAAATCCTGTCTCACGAGTTAAATAAATTCCAACTATCCAACTAAAAAACATCGAATTTTCTGTCAGTTACATTTTCTTTGATTTCCTTTTTGCGTCTGTCTTTTCGTAACACAGTGTCACAGGCAATGACGTCATAGTTTAGCAATTGTGAAATTGAAAACATCGTAAAGTGGATTTTAGCAATTTTTTGGGAAGAAATTGGCAGTTTTAGTCTCTATCAAGATGGTTTAGTCACTATCTCTATCTTATGACAGTCCAGAAATTATTTTTTGCTTACTTTGATATCCTATCGGACTGTGACAGAATATCACTTTTATTCAATAAATAAAAGTATTTCACTATTGAAAATGTAATAAATAGAATTCTCCAGAAGGGATCACATTTGAAGCTCTCCAAATGTTATCCCGAGGTTTTTGTTCCTTTATATAATTATGGACTTTTGATGGAGTCTACTCGTAGCTATACGGAACTGGTCATATTTGGTTGGCCAGGGACGAAGTTCGAGGTTAACCAATACCTGATCAGGTCGAGTACACTGAAATCAAGAGCCAATATTTACATTTGATGTGCTTTTCTACTTAACCAAATATGAAATCCACACTTTGCAAAAGTTGTGCCCCGTTGCGGGGTCAACCGAAAAGTCAAAAGGGAAAGCTTTTTTCTACCAAACATTTGGGCGCGCTCCGATAAATTTATCCTTTATAAATATCTAAATAAATAAATGATAAATTTCCGATGATTTATGGGCAGCCTCATCCTGAGGCAATTAATATTCAAAGTGCAAAGATTTTTTTTTTTTTTCAAATCAAATGATAAAGTTACACACCAGAAAACTACAAAGGCTACTGTGAGGATTCTAAGAGTTTTTCTTCTAAATGTCGGCCAAGGGACATAACTTTTGAAATGTACTAACGCGTAGAAATATACGCGGAGAAACGCACGCTTAAGTGACGTCACAATGAGGCTACAGAGACGTTGATAAAAGTATAACGAAACTAGATGAAATCCAGCGCAAGCGCGGGGAATTGAATTTATACCACTACCGACAGAAAAAATCCAGTAATATATATCTACTGACAGCCTACAGACTTATAGCAGGAAGAAATACTTTGTTCAAAATCCCGCATGAAGTAGAAGTACGCCTCCACCCCCACCCCACCCCAACCCCACCCCCTTTGAAAAACTTAAATAACAATTTCATTAATTGACGTTTATTGTGAAACCTGTTATATACTATGTTATTGATATTGTATATACTGTGTTATGGATATTATACTTCAGATACTCTTATTTCATTTCCGTCAAGAAATGCACATTTTACCGAGAAATTGATTTTTTTTTTGGTAAAAATTCACAGGTACCTGGGTCTTGGTTTATAAATATGTATGTACTTTATTGATATGTAAAAACTGTACCTTACCTTTATTTTTTACATATCAATAAGGTACATACATATTTATAATCCAAGACCCAAGTACCTGTGTAAAAATTGGAACGCCCTATGAATACACTGGCGGATTTAGAGGGGGGCCCAACCCCCCTCCCTTTTGTGTCCAAAATATACATAAAATTTAATAAATCATTTTTTTGGGGGGTGTCTGGATCCGCCACTGGAATAGGCCGAGTATTTGATACAAAAGACTGTATTCAGAAAAAAACTGAAATGTATTGATTAAAGCACAAAATTTTACAGCATAATTGTATTTGAACAATCCGTGTTCATTAATTTTCTCTTTTCATGTAAGCAGATTTATTACGAAGTCCAAATTGTACTTTGGGTTCGTTGCCACGATGCTCTCAGTGAGGAATATACAAATTTTACCGATAAATTTGTTAGGAAAACCTACTAAATAAATGTAATAGTCTTTCGATATATAAATATATTCACAACTTACAGTGTTATCAATGATTTACCATTATTTCAATGACCATTGACACAAAAGCTTTTTTTTTTAATGTTAAAGCAGCTATTTTCTTTTTAACATCGGGCTCGATGCTATATGATGTTCTAGAAGCTTCCGTCAATATTACGATCGGTGAATGATTTGCACATTTTCCTTTTTAATCGGTTATCTCAACTTATTTCTTTTATATCAATTAAATCAAGTTTTGATTGAATAATTCAGTAATGACGTTTAATGAAATAAATTGCTTGTTGCCAGTTTCATTAAAAATTGCCAGTAACTTAGATCCGCCAACCGGAAACGCCACCATACTCACATTTTTGCTATTTCATGGCTGTTTATAGAAAATAAAAATTGACTTTTAATTTAATATACGATACTTACAATGCAAGTGAAATCTAATTATAGTTTACGGACAACATCTTGTATCGTGTGTATTCTTAGAGGAGTAAGTAAGAACTCGGGTGCACCCGTTTCAGAGTTTATTTGCAAAATTTATTAATTTATAAGTATAGATAATGTAGCGAGAAATTCAAACATTGAGTATATAATTAGTTTAGGTGCTTTTAAACATGTAAAATGTACATATAAGGAATAAGATATGTGAATTATTGGTGTATAAATTATACAGACTTGCACGTAGGCATATTTTTCATGAAGCGCTAAGCTAATACCTGGTATCTTGTGTAAATGCAAAATGGTCAACCTGAGTAGTATTGATAAAAAAACATTTCTCTCATTAGTTTGTTGGGAAAGGTATAAATTTAATCACTTTTCGTAATCATTTGTATGGTGGCATAGTTCTCCCCCCCCCCCCCCCTTGTCAGATAATTGATATGATGACTTGTCAGGTCTTTTTGTTGACTTGTACGATAATTATGTCGACTTGACAGATATTTTTGTTGACTTGCCACTTTTTTGTCTCGATATGCAAAAGCATGCTCTATGTATGAACAATTTCTAAAACGAGGCAAGCTATTGACAAACAAGTCGATGAAACAAGGATATCAACAGTCTTGTTTGAAGACACCATTTTGCAAGTTTTATGGTCGATACAACTACATTGTCAGCAAATACAACCTATAATAAGTCAAATGACGACTGACGTTTTCAAACCAATTGTTAGGCCATTATTTACACACTGATTTGTCTACGGATTTTCCCGTTTTTTTCCCCCGATCATGACAAGGAGCACACGGTTGTTGTGAATGGTCGGCAGGGAATGCTCACTCCTTTATGGCACCTGGTCCCACCTCTGATATTTTTGGAGGTCCAGGTTTGCTTTGCCTGATTTGTATTATTAATGGACTTTGAGCTTGAATACTGTTCGTTATCTCCATATTTCATTTACGTGTTTATGAATTCATCATGAAAATGTGTCCATGCCCAGTTTATGCCACCAGTTGACAACATGTTTTTCTGACAAGTTGAAACAAGGATCTTACAAGTCACCATAAAGATCTGACAAGTGAACATAAAAAAATCTTACAAGTTGATATATTATCTGACAAGTCAACATAATTTTCTGACATGTTGACATAATTTCTGACAAGTCGACTTTTCAGATAATGATGTCGACTTGTCAGAAAGTTATGTCAACTTGTCAGAAATGATGTCGACCTGTCAGAAAATTATGTTTTGTCAGATAAAATCAGGACAGGTAGATGTCAGTAAGTGGCATTAATATGCTTTGATAAGAAGATACGAAGATACTGGTCGTGATGATTATTATTTGACAAGTCGACATAATTATCTGACAAGTTGACATAAATGTCTGACAAGTCAACATAAGCCTCTGACAAGTCAACATAAACATTTGACAAATGGTGGCAGAAATATGCCACCATACATATTTGAAAATTTAGTGTTGTAAATTTAATTTTAAAAAATGCATTGAAAAATATTGAGTACATTTGCCTATATTTGTTGATTTAATCTGTTATTTCAATTGAAGAAAGGAGAATTAAATTTTGAATGATATTTCTAACTATTGTTCAATTAATAAAGTCTATAAACGAAGATGTTTGAAGAAGTATTTTTGTGATTTTCTATATTATGATCACTGATGTACTCCTAAAAATGGCTGAAAATTAAAGTCGCAATGGATAATTATCATTCTAAATTGCACCGGCTGCACTACATTTAATAACAAGGAAACATGTCATGTTCTGTTAATTTATTACTAAGCGAGTGCTAATTACTCATTTTGAAAAGTTTAAAAATCTTGTGACAAAGACTTTTCCGTGCAGAGCAAAGATAATGCTTACATTGAAATGTATCGAAGTTGGAACCCTAGGAACATATTGTGCTAAGTATATTAGTTAAAAAAATGCAGACAAAAAACTTGAATGTCATTACGATCACTAAATCTGCTACATTGAAGTAGAATGTTTCATTAAAAATGTCAGTTCATAGTCTCATGAATGTATTTTATCCATTAAACGAAACCGGAAGTTGATGTATCTAAAATGTGTTGAGGTATTTTTGGAGGAATATAAATGAGTGGTTTGCAATAAAGAGGTATCTAGAACGATTTATTAGAAAAAAGAAAAGTTTCTCGAAGCGAAATGTATCAAGATAATGTAGGCTAATGATCACAGATTAATAATAAAATACGAGATTGAAGGGTATGTCTGAAATTGAGTAAGGTGCCTTGTGAAAAAAGAAAGGAGAGATGCCCTGAACAGACAAAACAAATGCCTGTG